GTTGTTTCCGGGATTCACAAATGTTGCAAAGAAGCGGAGCATACGGTAGACTGGGTACTTGATAAACCGATAATTGACTACTGCCTGCGGTTCAATATCCAGTTGGTCACTTTGCCGGCGCACTCGCCGCACCTAATACAGCCCATGGACGTCGGCGTTTTTTCCCGCTTCAAGAACGAGCACTAGAAGGCTCAGTTTGAGAGAGTGTAAGAGGGTGACATGCGCTTTACTGGCCTCAACTTTGTGATGGCTCTCAACCTAGGGGCCAGTCCGGTTGTAGCGGTTTTCAAGTTTTTTAGCACCACTGCCGGTTTGTGGACCTAAAATAAGCTTATTTTTCGGCGCCCTGGGGCTTGTTTTGTCTGGACATGTATTTTTGGATCTGCTTCGTATAACTACCAAAGTTTGGGGGGGGTGTTGTGGAGTGGCGCGCCTTGCAGGCGGCTGCTCCACTCTAGACCGGGAGGGTCACGTGACTGGTTGAACTGCGTGCAGAAAACTCTGCGACGCGACGGCGGTGCTTCGCACCTTCGTCACCTTTTAACACTACTTTTAGATAGTCGCTTTTCATGTGTCAACTATCGCAGCTTGTCTCTTTGTTTTCTGTGATTCTGTAACAGGGGGGGGTATGGCACAAGGAAGCGTCAGTGAGTGGTTAAGGTACTTGCGACGTCTGGGAAAGCCACTTGCGGCGTTTTAGAAAGCAATTCCTAGCGCTTCGAGTGCAATTTTTGGCTCAAATGCGGGTCCTGGCTTTCCCAGGCGCCAGAAACGCACTGGTGAAATACAAGGTGTGACGATTTGGATCAAGGCTGTTAGGGGTCGACCACGGCAGAGAGACAGGGCTGCAATAAACGCGAGGTTGATATGACTATCTAGAAGTGAGGAATACAAGGAGGGGGTTGGTGCGTTGCACCGGAGCTCTCGTGCAGGGCTTTCACCCAGGCGGCCAGGCGCGGGCCTTACAGGCACGGGCCACGGCCCACAGGCATAGGCCCCCAGCCACCGGGGCTCAGCGACTCCCAAGGCGCCACGCCACCACAAAGGCCCACAGGCCTTGACCCACACAATGGACCATGATCAAGACGCGCTGGACGCGCCCCGGACATCGGAATCCCCTCTTTCCTTCCTTTCTCCCCTAGATTAGAATCTTCGTTCGTAGCGCCAATTGACGGTGTTCTCTTCTTTGACCATGGCCACGACACAAGGAACAAATTAGAAAGACGTTATCGAGCCCTATCTGCTCTTCCAAATTACGTTAGCGGCCCTCCGGCTTTATATCTAGATAGCCAACGGCCGTTTGCTTTAATCCGACATCCCTTCCTTCCATCATTTATAAACCCTCTGCAGGCCCTAACACCACATTTTGTTTTGTTTTTAGGTACACTTTTAAGCGGAGCCGCGTGCGCTTTATCTGGCTAATTCTTTGTTTTAATGCTTTTGGCTGAATGTCCGCATATATTGGAAATCCCCGCTAAGGCGAGTTCCAAATGCCCATGTCCAGCGCTTCCTATGCTTCTGGTTAGGTTGGGTTAGCTTACGCTAAATCTGTGCAAAGACACATAGCCAGCCCTCTCTAGGGACATTTACTCTAGCCTACCTAAGGCTGCCGCTGGTGTTTTATCTTTTCAGGAATTTTACCGCACAGCGTCGTTCCCGCGGTTAATACGGCCATAACCAAGCTGAATATTAGGGGTTAACGGGAATTAAACGGGGTAGGTAGCCCGTGCCCTTCACCGCCTGATGGAATTCGCTTAACAGTTGGGCTTAGTTTAAGGAAAAAGGTATCACCGCCGGCAGTGCCAGCACTGTCAAACCTACTAGCACGAGCAGCGCGACCATCCGCTGGGCAACTGTCAACCCAACATCAATCCACAGCACCGCCGGCACTCATCATCTGCCGATCCACTATCAGTTAGCAGCACTAGCATTATCCTCCGCCGACGCTAATCCGTCAGCGCCTCCAGTTCTACCCTTTTTTGGGTCTCTATCTGTTAACGCCTTCCTTGGTCACTCAAATGCCATGGAACCGGAGTTAAACGAAGACAGCAGCAACCTTTATTTCAAATATAAAAACCATGAGAGAAATGCGTTTAATGCCCTCTTTCCTGGTCAGCCGTACGGACAATGGACGCTAAAAAGCCTCTACTCAAATGTTGCCAACGTGGCCCCGAATCTCCAACGGCAGCAGCTCTCGCTTATTCTTAATGACTTTAAGCAATCAGTTAAGGCACGGAAGGAGCACTCGCTGGGCAAGCGATATGGACATTGGCAGATTCGGCAGCAACATGCTGCATTTGAAACCCTAATCCAACAGATAATTGACCTTCTCGAAACCGTGACGACTAAGACGGATGATAAAATGCGCCATCAAAAAAAAGGGTTCAAAGACAATTCGTTACTCGGCGAAGCCGATTTCGCCCGTTTCCTTGAAGATATCGAGCTGCTGGTCGAACAAGCTTCGGCTCTGTGGCTGCGGGCCGCTGCTGGGGACATTCGTTACTCTACAGCTTCAACGAGTTAGTTTGTTTCATTGCAATTTACCTAAACTGGTTGGAAAATGGTCTTAAAACTGGAAATACGCTAATTTACAGATTATCCTAGTTGCGAGCACCTTTCTTTGCCAGATCGGGCCTATGATAAACGCAGAAACTCTTTTTAACCCGTCGTGGTTTAAATCTGGCTTTATCTCCATTCGCCCAAAACATCCCTCCAAATACTGGGCTTTTCTTGAAACGTGTGTCTTAGATATTCCACAGTTTCTAAAAGATATGGTGTAAGCAACTGAAGCTATATAGTCCGCTTTGAATAAAACTAATATTATGCTAGGAAACCTATGATGGAAGCAAATATTCCACCGGCTTACGCGCCGATTGCGGCGCAGATGATTATCCGACACGAAAATGCACTTTTCGGATGCGAGAAACCTTTCGCAGTGAACGTAATTCCTTTCGAAGCTGTCGTAGCAGCCTCTTACGTTAGAAAGATCCTCGATTCTGCGGATCATTCTTCCCTTTCTCAAATCGTTCAAACGCGAATACGTGAAGCCGATATCGAAACTCAAGAAAACCGGGGGTCCTACAATGCGAACGACTATTCCGAATGGAAATCACTTTTAAATAAGATTCGACGCTGGGCTTCGAACTATCCCGGCCCGGTTAGCCTCGCCCACTTACTAGTTTATCTCGAATGCCAAATTTGCAAATGTCGTAAATCTTTCATTTATGGAAGTGCCCATTTGCAAACTTTTGCCTATATATGCGAAAGTATCCGTTTTAATGGGATGCAGCTACCGCCGGCATTAGAAGCGCTATTTAACAATTCTAGCATCTCCCCCTTCCTTTGGTACGCCGGGAGGCCTAAAAACCTGAAAGACTGTCTTATAGGCATTGAAAAATGGAGCGACCCCTGTGAACTGAACGGCCGTAGCAAAAAGTTAACCCAACACATCTTCGAATCAAGAGACAAGCCTATGCTAGCCGAAAGAATTATCGAAAGTGGAGGCAAACTAACGCGTGCTATGCTCCGCAATTCCAAATCCAAATGGGACACCCTCGAAATTTATCTGGAACGCGAACTTGATGTTCCTAATACGATAAGCCTTGAAGATTGCCTTGATAGGGGCGCTCGTTTTCTTGCCGCCAAAACCGACATGCGGGACATCTGGAACACGAAAGCATCTCGCTGGTTCTATATACGATACAAGGTGCTTGGATCCTTCAAACTGGAAAACGAGCTTTTGGACGCGTTTATGCAAGAATGGAACTATGTGATGGGCACTAGCGAGAACTAGGCTGGAATGCTGCATTAACGAACGAATGTTCTTCAAAGCGTTGGTTTCCTGGGAGATTTCTTTCCAGAGACCAAAGGCCTGTACTAAGTTAAAGCACCCCTGTCCGCCACCTGTTACGACGTGGCATTTGAGCCCTCGACTTGTGCAGAACGTATGTGAATATTAAGCTGGAGAGGAGAAGAAAGGTTGAAAGAGAGGTGTGGCCGAAGGCCGCACCTTTATCCTGTCAGTCCTTCCTTATCTAGTCTCCAGCCAATCGGCTGTCAACTCTATCAACTACCACTGGCGACGCCGTGCCATAACACCACCCCCCACAGTCCGCACCCCAAATGAATCGGGTCGCGATCAAGCCTAGCGCATTCTGTAGGGCGCCCCCGGGGCTAAGGGGCTCTCACAGGGAGGTCTCAGATGCCCGACTTCACAGCAACAGTGTAAGGAGTGTAGGGCCGAGTGTGGGTGTCATGTATTACGGTTTCTCTCGCTTGCCCTTCCTCTATTTGAGTTGTTGGGCAAGGCTCTCTTTTATGTGCTTGCATGTTATTCTGGAACCTTCCTTGGTCCTTTGTTCTTTCCTAAACTAGAGTGGCCTTCTTTCAATGGCCCTGGACAATATCACGACTCCCTGTTGGTGACGCCGCACAATACTAGTGATCCCGCTTCCGGACAGGTGCATCATTCCTTTTGGATTCACAGGTGTCACGGTCCAATGTAGGCAACGAGGCAGGCTGCGATATCCGTAGGTTGAATTGGCTATCAAAACATAGAAAAGAAAGGGAAAAAGTTGTGCGTTGCACGGCGACAGCGGAATTGCCCAAATAGGCACGCGTTAGCCTGTGCAACGCAGGCCCTTGCGTAGCACCTGGCGGGCAGCCAATTCGGGCAGCCGCGCCATAACAACAGAGATAATGATACCTGTGCCCTACAGGGTTGTTACACATTCAACCGCAATTTTCTACCTCAATTCAACCAACTAGAATGCATGGAAAAACTGCTTCCTGATCGGAATTGTTCGTGGACAGCCTCTTAAGGTCGGGTGGGAAAGGCTTCTAGTGTTAGGGATCACCCTCACAAAAGAGGCAGGGCTGCAGTATAGCGAGGGTTGATTTGACTATCTAGAAGTGAGGAATACAAGGAAGGGATTGGTGCGTTGCACCGGAGCCCTCGTGCAGGGCTTTCACCCAGGCGGCCAGGCACGGGCCTTACAGGCACGGGCCACGGCCCCCAGGCATAGGCCCCCTAGCCACCGTGGCTCAGCGACTCCCAAGGCGCCACGCCACCACATCTAGTTGCATTCAAAATATTTAGAAGCTGTCTTAATTTTTTAAGTACAAGAGAGGGTTGTACAACGACCCTCTGCTCCCTTTAATAAAGGGAGCAGAACGGAACGCGGACGCGTTGTTCGGGGCGCGGAGCGCCCCGAGTGCGGAGGTCACGTGCACGGTCCGGTGTGTTGTCCGTCCGGCTCCGGTATGAAGCCCGGATCTCGAGCGTGAATTCTTCCGGACCAAAGTTTTCCTGGCCTTGGACGCCAGTTCCTGTGCGACTATGAGGTGCCCTTCTAACAAGATTCTTAAATATTTCGTTTAACTCGCTTTCGGTTTGGGAAGTCCGATGAATCCACCGCGGAAAGGCAGGTATCACGACACGTAGGGGCGGATAAACAGTAGTATGTGAAGATATCTTACAAATAGGTTTGTGGGCTGGAGGCCGGTCCCGTCAGACGATCTATCTAGTGTAGCGCCTGCCCGGGCCCTGGTCGCGTGACTTATGGTCACGTGACTCCACTCTCGGTGGTGCCCGTCACGGCGCTTTATCCGTCGCAGCCCTACCAGCCTTGACAGCAGGACTCTCCAAATAGGCGAAGGCAAACGGATATTTAGCTTGAGAGATTGCGAGAGAAGCGGGCCCAGGAGAGCTAACACGCCCTAATAATAAATCAAAAAAGCTTGCGTCGTTTTTGTTGATTGTTTTCATCCGCCGAGCTTTCTATCGGCCTTTTACGGTGATCGACGGTGCCAAATCGAGCTTCTAGCTTTTGGCATTCTATAAGTTTTTGCAATGTAAATGGGGAGCCGCTAATATTACAGCCATTGCTTGTATTTTCATATAAACGTATTTCAAAAGCTTTGGTTCGACTTTTAATGCGGTATCGAACTTTATAACAATAGCTGCCATCAGTACTAATAGTGGATTGGTGGTGGAAGCTGCTGGTTAAGCAATCATGGTTGATATAAAAGGAAGCTGGCAATGTTTTTAGCTGAGATATAAAGGCTTCAAAATCAGGCGTTTGAGGGCGAAGGCGACAGCGGATATACCCTATAAATTGATACTCGCCGTCGACAAGTTTAGGTGGATATATTTGATCCAGCTCGAAGATGAAAAGTTCGGCCCGAATATGGCGGACAAGACCGTTAAGAGATTGTGAACTTATTATTGTATTGCGAGCAAGCTCACCTATTTCTTCCATTCGAGATACGTCATCTAGTTGTGGTTCCGGTTTGGTGAATTTGATATCAAAGCGGTAATATTCTGACAAACTGTGAGTTTCCCCATATCCGCTACCTTGGTTAGCTTTTTGATGATTTAGGAGCTGCTGCCACGCTCGTTCTGAGTCACTAAGCCGCCAAAACGCTCTAATAAGTCGAAATAAAAACGAATCGTTCCACAAACGCCGAGCCCTAGAACTAAGCGGTTCATCGGCCTTTGCATTTCCTGTTCCAAGGGACAGGACAAGACTTGGTTCGGAGGATGAAGGAAATAGTGCCGCCACTTCTTGAAGTGCGATGGAGGCTGGATTGTTATACATAAGCCCACCATCTTGAAAAGACCCGATTCCCTGTATATAGTGTGGTTTAAAATAGCTTTAAGTTGTTAGTTTCCTGCCCGTCGCTTTTATACCTTCCCAAGACGACAAAATACCTACAATGGGGCTGCAGTAGCACAACGGATTCTGCATACGAGTTAACATGCATCTTTGGTAACATTAACTATTTGTTAACTTACATTTCCCACAGTAGGAGGAGAGGGTGAGCAACCCCTTTTTTAGGTTTGACAACGTAATAATCTAAAGTGCCATTAGCTATAAAAACTTTCATTAAAAGGTTCGACTTACCACAAGTATGATTTTCTTTTCCTATGGCGTTATAATTTGTAAAAACACAGGCACTTGTATCTTGAAGTGTTGTGGCTGTTATTCCAACCTTAAGGCCCATTGCGGTAGCCTTTGAGCAATCTAAAATGTCTAAATTCGATCCAAACACTTTTTGAAGTATTGCCTCTAGGCCCCGAGGCGAATACTGACCATCGGTTATAAGGGAAATGAAAAATTGAATAAGCATAGATATAATCGGTATGTGAAAAGACGGCCGTGATTTGAAGGCGAGATGGGAAAGTAATTTGAAGCTTGATATGCATTTTTCCACAGTCCATCCGTTAATGGCAAGACCGGCAGCCGTAATCGAGCCTGAAAATATTAGTTAAAAGGGATAAAGAATTCATTAGTGATACCACCTACCCGAGCTTGTTCCGAAGATAACGTCGAAATGCTGCTGGACAGGGTATTTAGGCAGTCCTATTGATTCTTCTATTACTTGCAAAAACTGGAGGGGTGCTATCCCTCTAATGCCTCCCCCGTCAATACTTAAAACCCGTACGCTTGCCGTATCCGGTTTAACTCGTATTTGTAGATTCTCGGTATTTGATCCACAGAGCATGCATGAGTCAACATAGTATACACAACTTTCGGTAACATCTCTTCGTCCAAATATTTTAAAACAGTTTTCGCAAATTGAATGCCCGCAGAGAAGACGAAATTGTGGCCTTTGCTTTATACAGCAGTAACACGTGTCAATTGATTGTAACTTTGCCCATTGGTCTTGAAAGCTGCTTAGGAGTTCGCGATGCGAAGTCGCGGCTGATTGAAGGTTATTAAGCAGGGCAAATCTCTGCGCTGCCGATTGTTCAAGAAGGTGAACAAATAAAGCAGGTGATGGCAAGGATTTTAATTTTTGGTAAGCTGCATACGCATTTTGCGCGGTCTTTTTATATAAGGTGTTAAAAACATCTTGTGGGTTAAATACTATTAACAGTTAGTTAGGCAATTTTAAATACAGATAAAGATCGCTTACAGTGCATCCCTGGCGGGTATTGATCAAGAATGAGGCATGACGCAATCGTGGGGATGGCAAATTTCTGTAGTAGATCAGGCGATTGGAAATTATCCAAAAAGTTTTCGAGATGAAAACCAAGTTCATTGGAAACAGGATGGTCAGAGCGGGATACAGCAATTAAGTTTAGCGGTTCCTTTTGATTAAATGGAGGGTTTCTTCTTATATAGTTAAAGAATCCTGCAAGATGACGGGCAGAAAATAGTAAACCTTTCTTTTGCTTTTCCGCTCGTGCCCGCCTTAATAACTCTCTTAACTCGTATTTAAGTTCATTCGAGTCCGTACTTCGATCCCTTACTCTTGTTTGATATCTAGCGCTATTTATACAGTAAACGCGCACACCTTTAAATATTTTGTTTGTATTAAACTCTTTTAATTTCTCCAAGTAATTCCTTTGCTCCACCTCTTGAACTATCAAAACTAGCCATGGAGATGGTTTAGGATATATGCCTGTTTCACTCCACATGGCAATTCTGCGCAGAATTCTATCACAGCCACCTAAGTCGTTGACAAAAAAACAGACTATGTCAGCAAAAGGCACTAACATACGCTGGTAAATAGTATCAGCCACTTCAAGTGGATTTTCCAACACTATGCTTCGATCGGTGATAGAGTGCGTGGAGGATTCGTGACACTTTTGATCACGACCGGGTCGGGAAATACGATTATGAAGAGGCATATTCATGTCTGCGATTAGTAGAGGAAAGCCGACCTCCTTGTCAGGCGCCAGGAACAGGTGGGCCTCCCCATGAGCCCTGTTATTATATTTAAGCCTATCTATACCAATATTTGTAAGTGCGCGAGACTTGCCCTCATTGCCAATAAAAAGAATGAAGCTAACGTATTCTGTATCAGCATGTGGTAAACTTTCCAATAAAACTTCTCCCCGATCGGATATCTGCACTTGATAGTCAAAGGTGTTTTTTGTAAAAAGGTGTTTTTTTTTAGAAAGACGCACCCAGCTTGTATGCTTGCAAGAAGTCATTTTACATAATGCTTTCATTAACCTTGTAAAGTGATAGAGTGAGAACACTTATCGAGAGATATAAATATTACTTATAAGAGTTTAAAAGCAACAAAATGAGTATTTCTAAAAACAATGACTATGTGAGAAAAGCTAGCAAGCGAGTGTTCCGTAGTTTCACTTATAAGCTATATTTGCACATAGTCACCTCCATTTTCTGATCTAACTTCACCTGGGGGTTTTCATAAACTTCGTAACGTGAATTAGGTCAGTTATTATCCTTTAAAAACAATTCATATCGCACATTTGATAAACTTAAAAAAACAATAACGTGGTCCATAAGCGAGTGGGCCACATAAGCGAGTGGGCCACGACACGCGACCACGCGACGCTTCTTCTCTCGCGACCAATTCCTCCATCAACAACAATGTCAACGGGAAACAACGAAAGCCGGGTAGTCCTTGCCCTTCGGGCTTTGCAATCCAACTCAAAACTGAGCATTCGGGAGGCTGCAAAGATCTACTCGGTCGCGAGATCGACTTTAACGCGTCGGAAGCGCGGCCAACCTGCTCGACGCGACACCATGCCCAACTTTCGGAAATTGACGGAATCCGAAAAGGAGGCGCTTGTTAAGTACATACTTGAGCTGGATTCCCGCGCATTCCCTCCCCGGCCTTCTGGTGTTGAAAATATGGCCAACCGACTGCTTGCCGAACGCGACGCGGGCGCTGTTGGCAAATGCTGGGTTACAAACTTCGTTAAGCGCCGCGCAGAGCTCGGCACGCGCTGGATTCGAAAGTACGACTACCAAAGGGCCAAGTGCGAAGATCCCAAGCTCGTTTTTGCCTGGTTCGACCTTGTGCGGAATACTATAGCCAAATATGGCATCCTGGATGACGACATTTACAACTTCGACGAGACCGGCTTCTTTATGGGCATGATCGCCGCCGTTATGGTCATTACAACATCGAAAGACCGTGGCAAAGCAAAGCTGGTCCAACCTGGCAACCGGGAATGGGCCACAGTCATCCAAAGGGTTAACTGTTGCGGCTGGGCGATCCCCCCCCCTTATCATCGTCAAGGGGCAGTACCATTTGGCCAATTGGTATTCGGAAACCGACCTTCCACGCGATTGGGTCATTTCAACGAGTGCCAACGGGTGGACTACGAACGAGCTCGGCCTGGAATGGATTTAGCATTTTGACAGGCACATTGCATCGCGCACAAAAGGCCCATATCGTCTGTTAGTGCTGGACGGCCACGAAAGCCACCACTCGACGGATTCCGAACTTTATTGCCAAAAACACAACATTATTACGCTTTGCATGCCTCCGCATCCGCCTCACTTCCCCCAGCCGCTTGACGTTGGGTGCTTCGGCCCGTTGAAAAAGGCGTATGGTCGACAAGTCGAAGAGCTGATGAGGTCACACGTTAACCACGTAACTAAGGTCGAATTCCTTTCGGCATTTAAAACGGCATTTTTTGATTCCATAACCGAAGGAAACATTCGAGGAGGCTTTCAAAGGGCTGGCCTTGCTCCTTTTAATCCGGATTCGGTTCTGGAAAAGCTGGATGTAAAGCTACGAACTCCAACTCCCCTAAGGACGCCCCTGAGCGACCCCGAACCTTGGACTTCTAAAACGCCCCAAACAGCCAGGGAAGCAACTTCGCAATCCGAACATATCAAAACTCGAATCTCCAATCACCGGAGCAGCTCTCCGTTACCCATGCTGGCGGCTGTGGACCAGCTTGCGAAAGGGACGAGTTCGATAATGCATTAGGTAGCCCTTTTTAGGGCCGAAGTTGCTTCGCTACGCAAGGCGAACGAGGCACTAAGCAAACGCCGGAAGGCCAAGAAAACACGTGTCCGACAAGGAGGGTCACATACTGTCGAAGAGGTACGAGATGCCCTGGACCAGGAGGAGCTGGATGGACAGCTACAGCAAGAAATGCGCGATCATGGGGGTCAACAAAGGAGGGCGACAACGACTCATCGGCGATGTGGCACCTGCGGCAAGACCGGACATAATGTGCGCACCTGTCAGGAAGAAGTAGAGATGTCCGATGTATACAGTTCCGAGTAGTTCAAATGGATTCCTGGCGTTATTGGGTTGGCATGCGCGTCGATTGACTGGAGGTCGGGGTGTCGTGGCCCACTCGCTTATGTGGCCCACTCGCTTATGAACCACGTTATTAATAACACCCCGTACAGTAAAACACTTCGCAGGTGAAACCATGGGACGCAAGGGTATCTGGAAGAAACTTGAAAGGCTGCATCGATAATGGGAAACACAAATGTTTCGTGCTAGGCTTCAAAGTCACACACAGGTGTTTTTAGCCTTTAGTGGGGGCCGGCGGGACTTCCTATAAGTTTAGGAAGGAAAGCTACAGGTTACTCCTTGCTCGTAGCCGTGCTAACCCGCTTAGCGAACGCGAACTAGTGACTGCTTTTAACTTTCGTTGGTAAGCTAAGCAAAGTTATGGCTCTTAAAAGCTAAAAGCGGTTAGTTGTCTAACCTATATTTAACGCCTTGGGGCAATACCCATTTTATGCGGAGGACGTACCATGAGAGCTTGCAAATAAGCTTCTTGTGGTGTAAAAGCTTAATGCGGCGCTGCGAACTTAACTGTAACAACCCTGTAGGGCACAGGTATCATCATCCCTGTGGAGCCAAGAGCCCCATCTGAAACAACCCGTAATTAATAAAGTGTATTAGCAAGATTCGGCTCGGTAATTAAATTGAGTAAATCGCGTCGGCAATGCCAAAATGGATTTGGAAATGCAAAGCCAAATCTAGAGTTCTCTTATTCTACAGACCGGCGCTTTGGCGAGTTGTTTACGAGCTACCTTTGCGAATCCGAAACGGCTAGGAGCCAGTCGCGTTGCCTATAAAATATCATAATAGCCCAACGTGGCGTTGCGTGAGACTTCCTATAAATAATTGGAGCAGACAAGTGTTTTAAACAGGAGCCTGGATTTCCTTTGTAAAGTGCTACTGGCGTACTGGTAAGAGACTTTACAAAAATTAAATTAAATATTTGAACCTGCTTTCGTTTACTGTGGCATTTATTTAACGTATAACTACCTTCGCAAAAAACAATAGTTAAATATGGCTAACCTTGAAATCACTGAAGCGTTATGTTTTATAATCGAAGAAGTGTATAAAAAAGGCGGTGAAGTTAATCGATTGGAAAACATCGTTCAAAGTATGGAAGCGCAAATTGAGCATTTGAAAAAGTATATCAGGGATATTGAATCGTGCTTCAGTTTGCAAGAACAAACCATTGAAACACAGCGAAACTTAATTGCTAGGTATGAGCAAGAACACCCACAGCACAAAAGCTCACCTTCGTCGCCACAACCCACTGAGCCAGGGATGGACATGCCTTATTATCCTGAAATACCGTTTGAAATAGAAAACAAAGAATTACAAGAAAAAGCTGTTTAAAGCGCGATAGAAATATATTTGGCAACGCATTAGATAAAACATGCTCCTAGTGTCAGAGCCAGATGGGGGTCAATATACTAGTGGTGCGAAAGATTGTATTCTCTAGGAATCGGCCCTGTAGGGCCTCCGCCGGGACAGCGGGGATATGGTAGGAGGTGCATATCACGTGCTAGGGCACGTCATAAACTGCACCCCCCAGTAGCCGTGACACCTAGTAGGAAATCTTAAACAATACCCGTTGATATAAGACAGGGCCTGTTACGGAATCACGGAAAACAAAGAGACAAGCTGCGATAGTTAACACATGAAAAGCGACTATCTAAAAGTAGTGTTAAAAGGTGACGAAGGTGCGAAGCACCGCCGTCGCGTTGCAGAGTTTTCTGCTTGTAGTTCGAGAGACACGTGATCCTCCCGCTCCAGAGTGGAGCAGCCGCCTGCAAGGCGCGCCACTCTATAACAGGGCCACTCTTGGTGGCTGATAAAGTTAATAGCTGATTGGACGGAGATTAATGGCGTATTTGTAGACTTTACCGGTGATCGATCAAACCACCAAAATTAGCATTAACCGGTCTTAACCGGTTATATAGACCCACTAAAAAGCTCCGCTGCCCCAGTAAATTGCGTGCGGATATTGGCTCAGGGCTGATTTAACCCTCGATCAACTGCAAGGGTAACTGCTCTCGCTGGATAAACCGATCAGCCGGTGAAGTCTCCAAACACGGCATTAGTCGCCTAGCCTATTTGAACCTTTAATAACATAAGGTGGAGGCAAATATAAAGTAGCGCAGCAAAAAAGAACGTGCTACTTACACTGGAAAGCACAAGAATAACAGCAGTGCTGAACTCAGGGACTGGGATCCCGCTAGAAAGGAGGACAATGCAATAGATAAAGATTGGTGAAAAGTGAATAGAGAAACAAGTGTGTGTTGATTATTCCTTTTTCCCGTTTCCTTTGTGAGGGTGAGAGAGCCTTATATACAGGAGTAAGCCTATCTTCCCCCTGCTTCATGACGCACGGTACTGTCAATCACGTGCCAGCCACGTGCTTTTCTGCAGTGTCCTCAGTACCTCCAGGTAGTACCTAAAGGAGGAGTCGTCCTACAGACCCGATGTTACCTGTATTTTTCCAAATTGCCAGCGTTAGATCTTTGGAGGAAAACCCAACCAAATAGGAAAAACCTCCGTGTTTGTGCCTACTGCGGCCCTGCAACTAATTTTGCGGAGACGTGGCCAGCTTGCGGCGGTGTCCGCCGTTTTTGTTTGCGTGCTTTTGCACGCGGGGGGTGTCCACTAGGGCAGGTACGATGCGTTAGTCACGCGGGGAGACGGTGAAATGGCCGGTAACGGCCGCGAACTCCTCAAAGCATTTGGGCTTTGCCAGTGTTTTGAGCAGGTATTTGCGCCGGGCATGTATGTCTGGGCGGAAGGCTGGCCAGCAAGGCCAGTCTCGCCACTGAAGTAACTCGCACTAGAGCATCGAATGAGATGTATGCAAGTTGAATTGATTGCACCTTCACTATATCCACCCGTCGCATCAAGTTAATGCCTCTTTACTCAAGTTTAAAATTCTCA